CATTCAATATTATCAATTTTATCCGTATGTTTTCTATGTGGTCAACAAAAGATCGTCGTGAAGCATTGGATTATTTAAATTTAAATGCTCTTCTTGGTTTCTTATCATTTGTCAGTGTATTTCTATCATATTATATACTTGAAATTTTAATCGGAATGGCACGAAGTATTGAACAAAATATGCAATTATTTCATCGAAAATATCGAATTATGGTTAGCTTCTTCAGCAATTCTTAATTTAAATTTAAATTTGATCTGTTCTAAATTTCAATTCTAAGTCATTGGACAGTTTCAGTTTTAAATTTAATTCAAATTTAAGTCAAACTTAAATTCAATTTAAATTTAAGCCAAATGTTCTCGAAAATTTATATGATATGTTTTATCTATAGTCTCTCTCTCCCTATATATATATATATGTTTGTGATACTTTATTTTTCTTTCTCTCTTTCTCTTTCTCTATATATATATACACATGTTTGCGACATTTCATTTTAAATAATTAATTAATTACAGTTCTGTTCTATACTTCATGTTGTTCTTGGATTATTAAACTTTGCAATGTGTTACAAAATGAACGCAAATGCTTCGTAAGTTATTATTCATTATCATAATTACTTTTACGTACTCATTTTGTTTATTAATATAAACAATAAGTTAATTTATTATTTAAGTAAGTCAATTTATTTATGTGAAAAAAAGAATTACCGATACTATCAATACTAAAAAAAGAATGGGAAAACTATAATTGCATTTAAATGGCATCATTTAAATATTGAATTACATACATTCATTATTATTTAAATTAATTTACCTGATCACCTAATTAAGTAATTAATACGAAGAAAGTAAAAGAAATGAAAAACTCTATTTATATTTACATTTTACAGCTATTCTTCATCATTTATCGTGCAGCAAATTTGTTGTACATCTGCATCGTTATCAATTGCATACATGCAATGGTATTTTCGTAATGCATGCAACACGCATATTTTGCGTATCGTTGTCATCATGAATATTTGCCAGTTTATTCAAGAAATAGCATTTGCATACAGTACCTATATGCTAATTATGGTTATGGGACGAAAAAGCGATATCAAACCAAATGAATTAAATTCGCTCAATGAAACTGAAGTAATTAATTATACTTATTTTATATTCAATTTAAAAGAAAATCGATTTTATTTAAATTTTAATGAAATTTACGACAGCCTAAAAAATATTATTTTACTTAAATTAAATAGTGATTTTTAAATAATGAATTTTATTTAAATTAAATAAAATTAAATTAATAATGAGATTGTTCAATTATTCCTTTTTTTAAATCATAAATTACTAAACAATAAAAAATTAAAATAATTAAAGTAATTAAAATTAAAATAATTAAACTTTTTTAATAAATTAGCTATAAATTACATCAGATTATTTATGTTTTTCATTTATTTCTTCATACAACACCTTCGATTTTGATTTATCCGGAAATTACATATCGGATTATACCTGAATGCAACTTATCGGATTGTATCACCATGTAACTTATTGAATTATACCTGAATGCAACTTACCGGATTATATCTGAATGTAACTTATCGGACTGTATCATCATACTGAATTATACCTGATATTTGTATCAACTTACTGAATTATACCTGAATATGTAGCAGAAAAAGAAAATGCAAAAAGAATATTTTAATTTTAATTTTATATCAGAAAAAGAAAATGCTTATATTTTTAATTTCTTTGATATAATTTATATGAATAATTGAGATTTCTTTCAATTGAATTACAAACATTTTAAAAATTTCAATTTTCAAAAATAATTTTTTATCAAATTTTATTTTTAGGTTTTACATTTATTAATTGGAAATATTTTAATTCATGGCATACGGCTTATTATTTATGCATATCCTGTGGCTATTTTCGCAGGCAAAGCTTTTTTAGCCGAAATTTTATGTCGTATTCGATTTTTCGCGAATCGTCGACGTGGAATTAGCTCAGAGCAAGCTAAACAAGCTAAAAAAGCTGGTATTAATATTGTTGAATTATTTCCTTCACCTTTTGTTAATATATTTCAAAAATATTCTTCGGCATTTTAATAAAAGAATTTTTTTGAATTTGAATTTTCGAATTGGTATTTTAAATTTGAAATTCAAAAAATATATATAAAATATAATTTAATTTGGATGAATATAGCAATATTATAAGATGATTAATTGCAAATGTACTGTATATTGCTATTCCAAAATTTAAATTCGATATAAACAAAAAATTCAAATTTAAAAAATTTCAAACTTTTGCTATTTTAAATCATAAATTCTTTTTTAGACAAAAAAGAAAGTAAATTACTGTTTCATTACTGTCTAATCTTATCAGCTATGTGTATCGCTACGGATATTGCGTATTACTTATTCAGTACTGCAAAACGAATTGGCCATACTGGATTTTCACTACCTTATATATTATGCTTATTATTCATTTATTATCATTATCGAAAATATCGACGAATTATATTTTTAGTATGTTTAATTGTTTTTGATAATATTTAATCATCAAATAGATTTAATTGATATGTTTCATTGATAATAGTATTATTTAATTTTTGATAATTAAAAATATTTTCACGCGTATTTTATTATATTATTTATATCACTTTGATGTCTATGAATTTAATATAATATGTCATTTTTCATTTTTAAATATGCTAGAACAAATCCAGAATATTTTCCAGATAAAATATTTACTATTAAAGCTCCAATAAAATATTTACTATTAAAGTTCCAATTAAATATTTACTGTTAAAGCTGTAATTAAATAATTACTAATTAAATTAAAATTTCACTTATCACTTGTTACTAATAATATGCTATCGATTTCAGAAACTTTCAGCAGTTTTATCAATTATTATCCTTAATTCATCCATTCATACAATTTATATGTTTTGTGAAGGTATGTATACCGGTCAATTATATCAGATCATGGATAAAAGCATTGAAAATTTTTTAATTAATGGTAAGAATTACATTGTTTTATTCTCATTTGATTATTTGATAATTAAATGCTAACAATTTTGCAAAAATTGCAAAATAATTTTAATAATTTGAATTTAATAATTTTTGTTAAATTATTAAAAATAATTTCAACAAAATTTTCGTTCCCATTTTTTTCATTATTTTCCTATACTCTTTCAAAGTACCATTCGTAGAAAATATTTTAAAATATCTTTTAATATGATAATATTTTCAATAGGAAAAAATTTCATATGATATATTTTTGGCTGACAAATTATTATCAATCATCATCATCATCATTATTATTATTATCAATTATCACAATTACAATTATCAATCAGATGATACTAGTCAATTTAAATTTGAATGATTAGTATTCGAATTTTTTTTTCGGTATTTTGAAATTTGAATAAAGTTTATTTGTTTCAGCTAGTTACTTCTTTCTTTCATTGGGCTTAGTTATTTTATCAGTTAAATCAATTATATTCTGCTTTCGAACAATAACGAATCATACGCCATTATATACCCAACCGATATCAATTATGGTCCCACTTCATCGACTTATTAATTTAGGCTATATTCTTATTGCTGTTGTTATTATTGAAATACTTTTCACAATAATAGTAAGTTTAAAAAACTAAATTACATTCCTAATAAAAATTAATTAGAATTAAATTAAATCAATAATAATTTGTGGATTATATTTAAATGAACTGATGAGAAATTTCTTTAGATTTTAATTTTTCAAATTAATAAGAATAAATAATTAATACAGAAAATATTATTTAAATTAAAGATGAAAATGAAGATCGAATTAAATTAATTATTCAACGTCCTAAATGATATAAATAAATTGAAAAAAATGAAGGAAATATGATTCCCAACATTTTTACAATGATGTATTAATTTTAGGAATAGATTTGCTAAATTAAATATTTTGTAAAATTTTTATTTTAATAATCAAATAATTAAACAATTAAAAAAAAATCTATCAATTACAGATGTATCAGGTATTTTCAATAAAAGTTGATTTTGTTTTGGGTACCGAATTATTCTTGTGGATTAATAGCATTTCGACATCTTTGCTACAAATTTGGATTTGCAGACATGAACGTTTTCAACGATGTGTAATTATACTTATCATAGAGGTTTTTCTCTTGTCAATTTAATGATAGTAATAGAAATGATAAATCAAATATTAAAAATAATTAGGAATGAAACATCAGCTATCAGAGAATTGCCTACTTTTATTTTATGATTTCAAATTGTTTTTAGCCTCAATTCAAATTTTGATTAATTTATTTGTCGTAATGAATCATGCAGCAATAGAAATGAGTACTACAACATTTGAAACATTTACAACAACATTTACATTTACATTTACATTTACTACAACATTTACAACATTCTGGACAATTGGAAGTATCAATTTTTCTACTTTCGATTTTAAGCTTTGCACAAAACTTAAAATTAAATTTTGCGCAAAGTTTAAAGTTGAAAGTGGAAAGATCAAATTAAAATTCATTTATATACACATTTACTACTAAGGATTTCCTACATTCTATTCCTTCGATTTGAGCTTTTTTGATATCAATGTTGAATTTTGCCAAAGAAATAATTAATTAAATTACAGAATGAAATATTTTAATTTTAGATTAATTTAGATTAATTTATTCATTATTTATTTCATTTCCTTTTTTGCTTACAAATTTTATTCGTTTCATTTTCATAAATATGTAAACATTGAAATTTTTAAACGTTTGTTTCCTTATTTCTATTTTATGCATAATTAATAATTAATTTATAGCTAATATCGAATTGTTTCAAAATATTTCTACTAATTATGGTCGAAGAAGAAATTGTTCAAACAATTATCGCAGTAATGACACGTTATAACAAAATTTTACCACATGCTACTGCACGAATAGTTTACATTGTGGTATATATATTTTTCAAAAATCTTCTTAATATTTTTCAAAAAATTATTTGCCACCAAAAATGTTTGATATTTAATAAAATGAAAATTTAACTTATCTCAGCCATTTATTTCTTATTTATAATTTCATCTAACAAATATTCAGTGGAATAGTTTGTGGAAAATATCGCAGTCATATTTTTTAAAAGAAAAAGACTATCTAACAAAACTAATTCATTTCATACAACGGAAATTAGAGATGTTAAACATTAACAGAGATATGATAATATAAAAATATACTATATTGATTACTATATTTTATATTATCATATCTCAATATACTATATTGTATAAATATACTATATATTTATAAAATATACTATAATGGTTTTACATTTATTTGTAAGATACTCATTTGATTCTGCAGTATAAGTTCAAAATTTTCTTAAATTATCAATTGCTTAATTATAAATCTGATTTATTGAATGATCATATTTTATCATCCATTACAAATCACTAATTTCAGTCATATATTATAAAATCATTTAGTTTAATTATGTATTACTATATATTGTAAATAGTTAATTTTAGACTGATGCTGTATTATCACGCATCATAAATTATTAGGTTTAAGTTGAGCACGTATTATCACGCATCACAAATTGCTAATTTTAGGTTGATCACGTACTACAAATTATTCAATGGGCATTGAATATTTGTTCACTTGGATTAGCATTAATTGTATTAGATGGAGTGGAAATAGAAGAGGACGATTTCAGCGATGGAACGGATAATCCAACAATTGATTTAACTAATGAGCTTTTTAATGCTCCAAACTTTAGAGAACATTTAATCACTGAATGCATTTCTGAAACTAATCGTACAAATTGCTGCATTTCTGAAATCAATCGTACAAGTTGCTGCATTCCTGAAACTGATCCTGCAGATTGCAGTATCTTTAATAGATTAGCTGATAAGAATTATATGTGGAGTGAAAGTCATGTATCTTTCGCTGATGAAATTGCTGAAGGTGGCAATAATACCAATAAAAATGACAGTAATAGTAAGATTATCGAAAATTTTACAAATAAAAATAAGGATGATGATAGCATTAGTGGAAATTCGAACTCTGTGACTGAAAGGAATTCATCCAATAACAATGAAACGGAGAGCGATGCTGTAGAAAAAAGTGTTGATAGTAGTGGCAGTGATAATGATAATGATACATATGTTGATAATGTTGACTCTACAATGTAATACTGTCAAGAATCAATATCAGCATTTTATCTAATCTATTAAAATTTTGCTATTATAGACTTAATTTTGAAATACTAAGATTTGCTTGTTTATATAACATTTCAATGATTGATCATTAGCAAATGAATCAATTGTTCTTTTTCTGAGATAAATTTGAATTCAATTTAATCAATACGTATTAATAATTAGCCTTAGAACTACCGATGAAACAAAATCAAATTTTACAATCAATATTTACCTCTCCTATATCCACTTATATTTGCTCAGCAAATTTTCACATCTTTTACAAACTTTTCTAATTATTGTTGAATTTAATCTCAGTTCATTTCATCTTTAATGCCCATATTAACTTATTGTAATGATGATTTACTTACTTATTTCTTGTTGCATTATATTTGGATAATCATATAAAATGGGAAATTATATGATTATCCTGTGAGGGTATTTTAATTTTAAATTCGTGAATTTGCTCAGAATTGAATTTCTATTTCATTTTATTCTAAACAATTTCTCTTCCCAAAACTTTCATTTGATTATTATATATTTTGCATTGTATTGTTTTATCATGCTCAGTTATAATTATATTATTGGCAAATTTTTTTCTCTGTTTTTGTTATATTATTTCGATTGTATCATTATGCCAACAGATTATGCCAAATGGAAGTGAATAAAATTCTATGAGAAGTACGTCTAACTTGTCGTTGAGCGTCTAATTATTGTAACTTTGCTCATTTAGTCTAACTTAACCATTTGAATTCAATTTCAATTATTGAAATGATCCTTGCAAATTTAACTAGTGGAATTGAAAAATATTTGAGGCTAGAATATTTCATATTGTCTACCAGCTGATGCGATGGGCCGCATTTCTTTAGTTCGCTCTTTATTTGTCGATTTTTCACCGTTACGGTTGTTACCCTTAATTAGCCTTAGGACTACCGACGTAATAGCTTGGTATTCCGCGTTGGTTAGATGCGTTATAATTTAATTTGAATAGATTAGTATTTCATGTGGAATATGTGATCTTAATGGGGATATAATTACGTCACATTTCCTTATATATCGAAATTCTGTCAATGGAGCAAATAGAACAAGGGAAGAGTTAGTCTTATGAGGTCTTCAAATTCGATTCTACTTGATCGTTAAGATTTAGTGTGTTAATCATAAGTGTATTGAAAAATGTATTTACCGTAAATTTATTGAAAAAATAACTTTTAAGTTTCTGAGAGTCTGATATCGTGATAGGGCTGCAGATGTGTAGCAGATAAATGTTATATTCATATGCTTTGTTGTGGAAACCTCACTTCACTAATCTCTTCCCTTTTCCCTTTTTGGTTAATAATGCAGTGTTTACAAGTTGTAATTGGTTCGATCGACGAGTGATGTCATCAAATGGGCCTTACAATTATTCATATATCTTCAAGTATATTATCATCGGTGATATGGGTGTTGGGAAATCGTGCTTGTTACATCAGTTCACCGAAAAGAAGTGTAAGTTTCTAGCAGTTTTATTTTTTCCCTACGACACCTTTGGATGAAACGCTAATCCGAGTAAACCGAGTAAAAAGTTCTGTCCGCATAGTTTTGTTTCACATACTCCTGACTGGATTATGGTGTTTGCTAAATCTCGTATGGATTCATTAGTTTGAGCTGATGTGAGCTCAGAATATGTTTGCTGATTATAGTCTAATTTTTATCCATTTCGATCATTGCAGTTATGGCCGATTGTCCTCATACAATAGGCGTTGAATTTGGAACACGCATTATCGAAGTAAGTGGACAGAAAATCAAACTACAAATCTGGGATACAGCTGGTCAGGAAAGGTTTGAGTCTTTCATTTAATACCACTGATCCTCACTATTCCTCTAAATTATTCGAATTCACAGTCCGTTTTGTAAGTTCTAAATAGCCAAGGATTTTTGTCACAAGTAGGTCAAACCCCATTAGCCTTAATTGTTGTGAAGGTAACGGGTAAAAGGTGTCTCAAAGATCAACAACGGAGCATTAAGGCTGATGGGTCTTTGCAGTAAAATTGCAGGAATTTCTCACATCTTGGCCATTTATTTATTTGAGTTTTGGTCGGATGATGTTAATTGTTATTTGATAAAAGTCTACTGCTTTTATTACATTTTCTTGGCCCTTCTTCATTTTTTTCATTCGTACTACTTGCAATTTTGGCTTCCGATTAAGTTATTATACTGATCATTCAGCTCAGAACTTTATCATGATTATTTTGCCAGATTTCGGGCAGTGACTCGTTCATATTACCGAGGTGCTGCTGGTGCTTTGATGGTTTATGACATCACGCGACGTTCAACTTACAATCATCTGAGCAGCTGGCTAGCAGATGCCAGAAATCTTACACATCCAAATACGGTATTCGCACAATGTCCCCATTCTTGCCGTATTCTTTGAACTTGACTCAAAGATATTCTCAGCAAACAATGCATCAGTAGGGTCTGTTTACCTCGTTTTCATAGCAGCAATGGGACAGTGACGCAGTTCAATTCATTACGCGTTTCTTGATAATGAAAGCTGCACAGTAGATATTACTGCAAATTGATTCCCGATTTAATCGAATGGAATCGTTCCGATCATGCTGTTGACAATTACCTCATCAAATTTACACCACATACATCTACCTCATCAAATTTACATCATATAATTTTCACCGTGGAAATTGATTTATTTCCAACTTCTCTAATATTAAAAATCATTACATATCTCTTGAATCATTGCGTAAGTGTAATCTATTTTTAGGTAATATTTTTGATCGGAAACAAAAGTGATTTAGATGGGCAAAGGGATGTCACATTTGAGGAAGCAAAAGCCTTTGCGGATGAAAATGGTTTAACATTTTTGGAGTGCTCTGCAAAAACGTATGAGTTTACTCTGTTTCTTTAGTTCTTGAGTTATGTTTCGTTTTTGTTTCTGCAAGTTTTTCTAGGTTCACGGTTGGCAAGGAAAGCGAAAAGTAGAGTAGTCCGGTTTTTGCGAGTTCGTTATACTGTTCTTCATATAACGACATTATTTTTTCAGTGGTGACAACGTAGAAGATGCTTTCTTGGATACTGCAAGAAAAATTTATCAGAATATTAAGGATGGCAGGTTTGTCTTTTCTTCAAGCAAGTGTTTTCAATGTTGTAGTGGTTGATGCAGGTACTCAGCAAATAATAATCATTCCTTAATTTTTTTTCTTGGTTTTCAGTCTCGATTTGAATCAAGCTGACACAGGTGTCCAACCAAAACAAACTCTGCCTCGTTCAGCACAGTCAGCGGGACAAGAGGGAAAGAATTGTAATTGTTAGCAGAAATGTAAATTTTTACTTCCAATTATATTTTTTCCTCAAACTGGCTCTTTCCCATATCATCAACAGTATATAATGGCATTAAAGCAGAAGGAAAAAAAATTAAATCTTCCATTTTTTGCTAGTTTGAAATTGTTCGCGAATAAGTAATAGATTTTGAGTTAAATTAGATGAAATTCCGAAATGTCATCTCTTTTAAAAAAAAAAGTCTCTTAATTTCCGGATATCAGAAGTTTCGTTGATAGGTTGATTCAGCAAAGCACATCATTGTCTATCCTGAGTTGATGCCGAATGTGCTTGATTGGTAAGGGAACAATAAATCCCGAAGTTGGGAATTTCGGATTAAATTGGCCGGAAAAAAAATTGAAGTATGGATCACTCAATGAAGTCATAAGCGCATACTGTAGCGTCTGAATTTCTAATCCCTAACTTTACATATGTGGGAATATCTGAAAATATAGTAGATGATATATTCAGTTTTGGAGGCACGATTTGACTATTAAAAGGAACCTCGGATTGTTTTGATATATATCTGCAGTTTGCTAGTAATATGGAAGGTTATGTAAATACACATATTTGCATGAAAATTTTTGAGCTTAATTTTGCTTTAAAGATTCCCACATTGGGACGAGTAATTGTGCATATTCGGCGTTATTGACGACGTACTTTCTTTTGTAGAGACGCATTCTTTGCATTATTTGCAGTCGAAATTGTAAAGCAGTCGCTATTTTTCTGAAAGTGTTTATATTTTTGGTTTTGTCCGAAATGTATACCGCTTTCTCTTCCTTCTCATCGTATCATGTGTTTTACATGAATGCGTGTTCATTCTAGTTGCTTTTACAAACAACACACCATATAATCTCTTCATTTTTGATGATTGTCTTTGTCTTACTGCGATATGTCCGTCATATATTTGGTATCATGTCGCTGAGGCAAATGTTCATTTGTATGTCTTTTTCTTTCTTTCTCTATTTGTAAGTTATCTTCGTTTATTTGCATGCCTCATTCTACATACTAAAAAAAAGGATACACCGGGAGTATTTTTATATTCTTAAAGAAAAGTTTGGTTTGGCAAGTTCATAAACAAGAAGTTGGGATAAGAAAACAAAAATAGAGTCACTGGTTCTATTCAAATGAATTATGGCATTTTCTAATTTGATTAACTAAATTTTAAAATCGAGTAGCAATGAAAACCTTATGTATCACTTAAATTTTTTTCCTTCTTTCATAAAATGTGGCGTGCCACAGTACAAAGAAGTACATGTTCACTCTTTACGACCATATAACCTTCATCATTTCAAAAAATTTTAATAGCGGGAATGAATAGTTAGTATTGTAAGAAGATGCTTAACGTCAAATGAAAAGTAATTTCGCATCTCAGAAGTCTATATGTTGCCTAATGGATGAAATACATTTTCGTTATTAAATGGTGAGGGCTTGTTTAGGAGTGAAGCAAACTAACCAATCAGCATTGTGAGCATATTCGTTTTTGCAGTAGTTAGCTGCTATTTTGGAGCCGATAACTTCAGTGGTAGCACTGGTTACATAGTTTTTGTCCAAACAGGAGAAGATGAGTGTATCGGATTTACCCCTTCCCATCTTTATCAAAAAGGAGGGAAAAAAAGCTTCCGATTGCATGTTCCATATTCTACAAGATGGATTTTCATAAGGCTTTCTACAAATTTCTAGTTACATTTCGCATATTTATTTCATTCCTAATTTAGTCCACCCAGCACTATCAACATAATAATCATCATATCAGCTAGTCTAAGGGAACTCTGGAATCACAATAACATTTATTATAGAGTTTGTGAAATCAGAAAGCTGAAAGAAATAAATGTTTTGTTTATACGTGATTTGTTACAACAGCAATAATTTAGATCCCAAAAATAAGTAAAACATCCAAATCTCTGCACAACAAGCAAAAATATAACGATAATTTCCAAAAATACTTCGTGAGGAACTTGCAATATAAAAACGACCTGTTTTAAAAATAAGAGTCATCAAACAAGGAAAAGCCGTTTTTTAAAAAAAGCAATCATTAGATAATGTTCAAGGACAAGCATATATGTTTCATACGTGCCCGCGGGTAGTATCCAGTCACCACGTCAGGGAAGCATAAAAAAAACAATTTTAACCTAACCCATTGGCCCTCTTACTATGCTAATCCATTTTACAATCCCTCGCCAAGCTGATTTCCTTCATGACACCAATGCATACATTGTTCTAACATACTGGGGTTTCTTAACAATTAACCAAATTATTAAAAACTCCAATATGTCAGAACAAAAATTGATGCGGCAAGAAGTGCCACGAATGATTTATAAAATATTGAAAAATATGAGAAGGGCGCAAACATCCAAAAATTTGTTCGATCTACCCACATTAAACAAATAAAACTATGAAAAACATAACAAAGCAAACAGTTTCTTTTTTTCTAACACAAAAACGTGCTTATTAAAGCTAATGTTTACACTCCTAAATTTGAAAATCCATAATCACAAAAAAGCGATGCTGTTTCTCAGAAAAAATCTTGACTAAATTTCATTTATCTGAAGAAAAATTGATTAATTCTGATTTTGATAATTCTATGACCACTCGCTATGCGTCCAGTCAGAAGAAAACACATTTTGACAACAGGAGAGCTTCTTATAAATAATAATTAAAATATCGTACTTCTACCATCGTTTCTTGTAATCATCAACCGAAACACCACCGGGACCATAGGCCACCAGAAGCAATAGACCGCCAATAACTGATATTGTTTGAAAGAAATCATATTTCATGAAATCACGATAAAAACGATCTGCCGGCACTATCCACCAGGCATTCAGGTAGAGATTTAAACCGAACAGCCACACAACAAGTACAAAAGCGGAAAGCTGAAAATATCGATATAATTTTTTTGCCATTAACAATTCCTTACAATATTAGCATATTAGAAAAAGATATTCGAACAACTGAAATGCGAGTGCATATAAACTGCAAATAATAAACACCGTCATAATCAATCTGTTTTAAACACTTTCAAAGTGAAAACATTCCGAATCACATTTAGTTCGAATATGTCTTTTATCTAATATACTAATATATCTTTTATTGAAATAATTTCTTCTCTGCTAAATATCTTTCGAAAAACTATACCAACCTTTGTTTTGTATCCAACAAGCACAAGTGTCATCAAAATTCCTCCGACAGCTACTTCGATAATTTTCACAAAATTCCACTCGAAATGAATCAATGACAGAAACATGAGTATGAGGAATATGCGTCCTGAAAACAGTAAAAAGAATTGGATTCCAAAGTAAACAAATTACTTTCATAATCTCCCTGATTAATACATGATCGATACAAATAAAATATGGATAATGCTAAGCTTAACTGCCATCTTTCAAATTATGACGGACAGTGCTACTTGTTCCTTTCTTTCATCAGGCTAAAATCTTCTACACTCCATATTGCTGCGACCAGAACAAAAACTATATCATACTTTTACATCATATTGGGGACGTATTTGCATAATCATCAACAAAATCGAGACAGTATGCAAGATAATTCAATTCAGAGCGTTTAGGAAACGCTGTGAAGCCTCCCAGAACTTAATAAGACCACCCTTTAAATAATATTTTCATCAACTGTACAGAATAGTCGGTAGATTATTTCAAATTAAAATTACTATACCAGTAAGTAACATTGCAGATTTTCCACGATTTGCATCACCAACTTGTGGAACACCAGCAAAAAGACTTCTATTTTCTTCTTGCGTTTCGGCAAATAGAAGTAGCAAGCCACCTCCAACTGCAACATTTCTGCAACAAAAGATGTTGACTTATTTTTACACCGACCATAAAAAGTTTCCCTTCAAAAAGTATTTTCACGATACGAATCCACTGAATATGAACCTTAAATTGCCAATAAGTTAATGGTAACTCACAAGTCTGATTGATCCTCGTGCAATCACAGGAGACTAGACTTGAGTAATCTTCAAGCAACTGAGGATCAGATCAAACATTCAGATCTAAAATGAATAAGTTTCATTAAGTAAAAAAAAAGCTTACCTCGCCAAAAATTTCAAATCCCACAGTATATGATAGGCAATTGTTTGTAAAGCGACAACGGATGCTAGCAAAATGCATGCAATGCCAACCTGAAAATTGTATCATTTAAAAATTGCACAAATAAAGTAAGTATACAAGAAAACAGAAACTTACCCTTTTACGAATCATAACCATTACTACTGGAATGATTTGCCCAAAAAAGTTGAACACGACGAAAAGATTTGCAAGTAACCAACCGCACGACCAAGAATCCTGAAATATATTGGAATTTTCAATTCCTAATTAGACTTGCTACTTACAATCTTAAATTTCTATAGCGGTTTCACTTTTCTAACGATATACAAACTGGAAGCTTCAATCATCAACACTGCATAACAGTATATTAAAAAATGTGGATAGTTATAATACAATGAATAACTTCCCATCATCAATGTAAATAATTTTTTTAATCGCACTAAAATAAGAATTTCACCTATCGCTATAGTTAGAAGAAATTTGTGGGTTGCGTTAAAAATATATTGCCGAAGTTTCACCTGCATGAATTGTCTTTGATCATCCCACTGGAACCACATGCGGATACCATCTTCAATAAATGTTGATATAAGACAAAGCCGTGCAACATGGGGCAAAAAATGTTTTGTATGCCTCAAAACCTAAAATTACAACTGAAATAAACATATAAATCATCATCACCTCCTACATTTGAGTACCTGCTATATACCAGTCAGTTTTTTAAATTACTTTTTTTCATAGAGTATCAGATATCTCCTTGTTCATATCTAACATAAAAGAACTTTTTTATCAATAACCACAGTCTCGAAATTTTAAAGCGAAAATAATCACTGTAAACGGTCAGTCTTTCCATATAACTTCTCTCTATATTATCATTGTTCCTTTATCAATGAAGCTGTTGCATAAAGACATACATCATCCGCGGCATCTTCAGCTGCTCTCAGAAACTCACGTTGCCCACCTGTCCGAAACTGATCCATCTTTGGAACCTGAAAATAACCACATGTATGCCAAGAAATAGAACCCTACTTATAAACCTGATTTCCGACCGAAATAACCTTCTATCCGTTGAAACTTCAAACATTGGTTCCTTTTAAAAAAACGTATGCACATTTTAGTTAGAATTGAAAAATATGCCTAATGACTCTATAGATAATAAGTTCACTCACTCCACTACACTTCCATAGCAACACGCTAACACTAATAATTGACAATTATATCTAAATCTACGGATCACATGTCAACGCTAATATAAACGTACTGGCTTAAATTTTTCCCAATAGTTTACTAAAATCAAACCGTAGAATGTAAAACTTACTAATTAAGGTCCCAATCAAACAATCAATTACGTGAAATTGCTCACCGAAATTTCACAGGACCATGAAAATCCCTAATCGAAACCAAGCAAAACCGTTGCACCATGACATTTGGACACGTCGATCACGCGTACATCGAATCAAACGAAGTTTCTCTGATAATATATCGACCACCGATATAGACATGAAACTATTTCGGATCTTGTTTAGATTTATTTGATTCGTCTTCCACCTTCAAATATCCTCAAATATTTTGTATTTCTCTCTTCTTTTTAAAATGTTTCGACATTTCGACAATTTTTAAGAGTGTTTAACTTTACGATATTTTACTGTCATTAACAGGTATTAGGTCAATCATACGATAAGCTGTTTTTACTAACTTTCCATCATACAATAATTAAATTACCGACTATTAATTTAGTCGGTCTTGCTGATCGAAACTGACATAAAACATTAAAGCATATGAAATACGTAGTACGTAGAAATCCTTTCCGACATAAAAAAACCAGTTATGAAAATTCGATTTAAGCTGAATTTCAGTGGAAATCGTTAATTTTGAAGTTTTACTGAAATGAATCAATTCAAAATAATACCTGTTTATCTGAAATTTCATTCTTTAATTTTCTTCATAAATCATTTCTTGGGAACAAACTCGTCTCCATTCTTTTAATTATTCCATCTTTTTTGCACTTTTTTTCATTTTCACTTTGTTTTACTTTATTCCTTTTTTACAGTTTAATTTTACTATTCCTTCGTAATATGGAATGATGATTAATTAGTCCTAAAGAAATTCAAATAGTTATAAACTTTATCATTTCATGCAAATTTATAGTTATAAACTTAGTTATAAACTTTATCATTTCATGCAAATTTATACTATTAATAGACAAAGTTCTATACAATTAAGCTACATGGAATGAACATTTTTAAAAAATCTGCTTAATTATTTTAATACCAAAATATTAGTCAATAATGTTTTCAGTTATTCAATATGCATTACAAATTTCCACACTAAACGTAAATTAAAGTGCCAATTTAATTCAGCCATCTACTTTAATGTTCAAAATTAACACTTTCATATATCTAGTAAATAAAAAAAACACAAAGTTTTGAGAAGTTCCAAAATCCCTAACAAGTTTGTGCTATTAACAGAGGCTTTAGAGATGAACAATGCTATTATGAATTTATATACATAATCAAATTATAAACGACATGAATCGAGCTTCTAAATACGAAACTCATAAAATGAAATTTATTTATAATAGATTAAATATGGAATCGAAAAGAGCTGAAAAGTAAAGCCACGCGCAAATGTTCGATTACATCGTGACTTCCATCCCTGTTAAGTCAAAATCACCAGCTACTCGAAGAGCCATATAGTCTTCATCAGGATATGATGTGCGGTGCGCAAATGTACCATAACGTTTACCATCCACAAACATCTAAAAGTTTTACAAGAATTTGCATAAATTTGCCATAACTTCTATTCCTAAAAAGAGAGATGACTTCGAGGATCAATAAATACTTGGCATATTCATATGAAACAAATAAGTATAACTTAATGAACTCGCTCATTATAGTTCCATTAAAAATGGTATTAAATTCCACCACAAACAAAAATAATTTGTTGGATGAAAAATAATAAAGTATGTTACATAAAATCCAAAAAAAAAGAACCAGAAATTCTTTCCAGGTTAGGTTCATGTAAGAAATCGATTTTCTAAATAGCGTAAATAAATGAAACATTTTACCTAATTTACAAATATAATAATCATTTCTACAAATTGAATAGACTATTTATTAAGTTTAATATAAACGATTCACCTGAATGGAATAAGGTGCGTTATGGAAAATAATATCGGTGCCAATATCCCTCCTGAACGGAAATGTACCCTCGCGTTCTTCCTGCCCCCAAACGTAGCCAATTTGTGCATTGCGTATTATCTGCAACAAATAACATTAAATTAAACAATATAAAATAAATTAACATTGAGAAATATTAAACGAAAAGGTGGATACGTTTAAATATATTTTCTACAAATATATTAAGAAAGAAATAGATGAAAGTATTTGTTCAACTTGCCTTCCTTTCCATAAAACGTGGATTAAAATGAAACAAAATATCGCCATTTCTTGCTATAAAATCGACTTCAAAACGTTCACCTTTCGGAATACCGTACAAATAAACCCGTCCTTCTGCAAAACATTAATAAAGATTGCTTTGATATATTTCAGCCATACTTCAAACACAGCCACGTTATCTTTGTCTTTTCTAGTTTTATATGATCAATTCTAACTTATCTTCACTTTATGTCCAATTTATTTTCAATTAATAACTGAAAATGATTTAATAAAGAAAGAAAATATGTTTGATATTGTTTTAAACATAAATTATGCAAAAAAAAGAGAGCAACAGATAGTAAAAAGAGGTTTGAAATTTCTAAGAAATTGCGAATGCATATAAATGTCTAAAAACAGGTTAAACGACTTCTAAAAATTTCGATTTAATTGACTAGAATATTTAATAAGAATATGTTGAATAAAATAAATAATCCGAAACTACAAGCTACTGTAATACAGTTTCTTTCTTCTAAAATAACTTAAGACATTTTTTGATTTATAAATTCCTCTGTGATAAAATATCATTGCTATTGTCGTAGTCATTTAAAAATTTTACTTTTTTTGAAAAATTATTTCTGGTAAACGAAGCCTTCTTAATAAATTTTGCACACATAATGAAAAGCATACATTTTGATAAGTTAGTAAGGATAAATTATGATATCATTTGAAAGAAAAGTGTATCGAAATTGATTTCTCATTTGATTAGATATTATTAATTGTGGAAATTATTACTAATGAACGACATGAATTGATAAACACAATCAATCTTGACATTTTATTGAATAGGTACAATTCTTAAAGTTATAGCTGAAAGCCTTAAATCAATCATTCTGAATGTGGGCAAAGAAGTTCAAATTATCGACGATCTAATTATTGAAGATTCATAATTGTGATCATAAAATTATGATCACAAATTATGAATCTCTCTTCTTTCAAATTTTTGATAACTTACCGTCATTTAGATGTCCTCCCGGGAACTGTGTTTCAAATGGCAAAGTATAATATCGACCACCGCAACGTACACCACTTAAGAAGACATTTCCTCGTATAGTTAAATATTCCACGGAATCTACATTGATACGAGTTTTGTAAAAATGAAGCTCTTCCTGGTTACCGAAAATTTCTAATTTATCGTCGTGAATGCGTATAAGAAGATCAAAATCGTCACCTTTTTTAAATGGATTCGATGATTTCTCTTCCTTACCCCATTTACCGTTCTAAATAATTTCACGCAGTTGAAAATGAATATTATGTAAAACAATACAAGTCAATGCGAAATTATTATTACATGGTTATTTACTATAATATACTATCCGATATTCAATATACTCGAACATTATGTACTTCGATACGGATAACTGAAGTTAAAGGATATCAATTGAACAACATTTCATTTTAATTTTTGAACAGTTTTCAATTAATAATTATAGTGATGATAATTCTAAGTTTACTCCATAATCATCTAGCACATTTCTCTTGATTATTCGAGAAAATGTCCCATTGAATTTTTTCTCTATAAGGAAATAATCGATGCAAACAGTTCTTTCTGAGTGAATTAGCATGATCATAAATATAATCTTCGCACAGAATCTTACCGCTAGAAGAGATTGAAAGTTAATAATTTTTATCCCATGAAAGTAAAGCTTAAAGTGCTCATTTAAATAAAAAAAAGTTATCCGTCATTTTTCTTCGAACTATTAATGAGCACTAATTGACGATAAAAAATGTCTTAAATTCAGTATGTTTATCATTTGCATCTTAGATCGCGATATATTGAAAAACTTTATCTGAACATTCTTCAATAAATGCAACAAAATTCCGCGATTTCATCATTTTGAGAGGTAAATTTCAAACCTCATAAGTATTATAGACCGTTCCATTTTCCTTGAAATTAACTTTCATATGAAAAATGGCAGCCCTTGATGATTCGATATCTGGTGAACCATTTAACAGATTCACTTCAAATCTATAAATGTTATGCATTGAATAAATGAAAATGAATTTTTATTCACATCTTCAGTGTGAGACATCCAATGCTACTGATAAATGATTGTGAAATGCTTTGACTTATAATTATCTAAATAGCTTAATTTACTGATTTAAAAAATACTTTTGAAAAAATCCGATTGCACATCAAATTTGTTTTCCAATGAATTTTCGGTTGTGCAACAAATTCTAATTTCGATAAATTGTTAATTTTTCAGTACATGTCCAAATAAAATGTCTAAATATGAATATATGCAATTTGCTCCAACAATGCCTATATGATAGGTTATAAGGTATGCGAAGTCATTTTTTCGACGGAAATTAGCATAACTTCAAGAAAATTTAATTATCTTAGTTTAGAATAATAAAATTAGCATAATACGGCGCTTTATCATTGTAATTGGTTTCACTTACTCAGATGCATTAGATTCGATGATACCATGAGCGATAAGAGTTTGACCAGGTTGTAATTTAGCGCCAAGCTTTGAAATATAAGGAACTGGTATAGCTACGTCTTCTGGATGAGTCTAAAGAATACTTTATAAAATTACATAATAAAAGCGGAACATTGATGAAATATCGGTATATGAAATATATGAAATATGAAATATATAACATCAATTTAAAAAAATTAGTTCTTCTAATGTTCATCTAATGTAGCCACGCTAAATAATAAATACAAAGCGTTTGAATTCCTAATTAACGAATTTTATTTTCCACGTAATTAATTTCCAATCTCCTTCATAGTAACACTATCAATTTATTTTGGTAAAAGATGAAATTCATGCAAAAATGCTAGCTAATACATAATTCCATTTCTTTTTTATATTTTATTTCAACAGTTATTTCTGTTCTGAAATCCGAAATTAATTTAGAATGTTCAAACCCTTAGCCATTATTAGCCTCTGTTCTGAAGTTCGAAATTAATTTAGAATGTTCAAATTCTTAACCATTCTTGATCTAACAATATAAGATAATATAATAAAATGATGCCATGTCTTAAGCCTTCTCATTATGTCATACAAAATATAAACAAACATTTTTTTATTATATATGTCATTCAAAACTTTTTGTCATATATCATAATGAAAAACTTGTTATATTTTTTTCTTCCGCCATGCACGAATTGACAAAACAAATATCTCAGCAAAAACAATCATTTAATTAATTAGGAAATCTGTGAGGAAGATGATATTATTTTAGCTATTACATTTAAAAAGTTGTTATATACATATATATAGTTTGAACATGAATACTATTCCAGAAGTAACCAAATGATTACCGAGAAATTGAGGAAGTACAGGGGAAACTAACAGCTGCATTAATCTTGTAAATATCTCTATAGAACATAGTAATCTATTCCACACGAGCTATGACAATTATTGAAAATTTCAATTAAAAGCTTACCATTAAAACTCTTTTTATGAAATGTAGCAAACTTTAGCAGCGGAATAACAGTAGAAAAATTGATTAAACAATAACGGAATAAAGGTAGAGAAAGGAAGAGAAAGAGAGGATGATTTAAATTGATTAAGCGAGAAAAAACTGATAAATATTTCGAATATCGAATAGAAATCAAATAGAAGTGGAGGGGGGGGTATAAAAATGAAATGAGAAATTGAAGAGGATTTGAGAGATAAAAAGGAAAATGAACTCTGAGTTGACCTCAAAATATAGTGCTATATGATGTGAAATGATTGTTATCACTCACTCTTAATTATTATGTTAATGATGTGTTTCATTATTTACTAAATTTTAATTTTATATGAATCATCGAAGGAAAGGGAAATAATTGAGTAAAAGTTACAAACTAATTGAGTGATAATTATAAAATAATTAAGTAAAAATTATAAACTAATTAAGTAAAGCAAAGTAATTTAGCAAACCATACAAAGTAATTAAGTAAAGATTATAAAACAATTGAGTAGAAATAACTGAAGTAGTAGTTGGTGATTTTTAAGAGAGTAGGAAATGAAAATGAAAAAGAATTCATTTCGCAGTTAAATGAAATTTTGCTCTCAAATGAAATATCTTAGAAAAATGTAATCTCTATTTAAACGCAAGAGAAAAAGGGTAAAATTATTTGAAGAGGAAATATTAGTATGAATTGCAATTACAAAATGCATTTAATTATATATGAGTGTATGAAATCAAAAATTAATAAGGATTCTTTTTTTAAGGATAAGTTTTGTCATAGTAACTATGAATGGTTCTATTTCATTTCAACTTCTTTTTTCAAAAATTTTTTGCTACTAACAGTTATGATATTTTAGGAATTAATTTTTAGATACCATCAAACCATTCATTTATACTCATTCTCATTTCATAATTAGAAAGCTCTTGATTTTTTTGTCGCAATTTTTTTTCCGGAAAACTATTTAAACGATAGAAATTCTTTCGCTAGTAACACTTTCTCAAGAGCTAAAGCAATCCATTAGCAGGGAAAATTCTTCTGAGGGGTTTTTTCCACTTCCTTTCCTAGATTTTCGGAATATATATACTTGCTGACATGATCCAAGCTATTTCATAAAGTCCTACTTTTCGTTTCATACAAGATTGGTGACACAGTAGCGTATCTGATAAAGTAGTTATAAGTGTGGCGTGGTCGTACGTACGGGTTAGTGTTTGCAGAGGTATAGATGTGGTTTGGTGTTAGACGTGGTAACGTAGTAAGACATAACTAATAAAATGCTGTTTTGTGAAAGAGTTGTATTTCAGGTGGATAGGAAATAGTTTAAGAAGCTCTGAAAGCAGTGTAAGATTTTGGGAAAGTGCAACATTTGTTAGAGTTTATGAGATATTAATAAAGTGATTAGTTAAAGTTCAAAACAAGATTTTTTTTCTAGCAAGTGAAAAACACTGCGGTGGAAATATGTCAGCTGCAGATGGTGGTGCAGCTGCACTCCTTATCGCAGGACTTGGTACCGGTGGTACTGACGTGATGTATGAGGATGATCTAACGGACAATACTATACCGGATATACAGGTGCACCACATTTCAATGTTTGATAAAGTTCAATTCATCAGTTATGGCACAGCTTCCAGTGAAAAAAAGAAAAGTTAACTGAAAGAGTCGCGCGAGTAGACGTTTATGGGTCAATTTACTTTTGCTTGTAAGAAATGGCATAAGTGTACATAATCTACAAGTATTAGATCAGTTAACTAGTGTATTAAATGTAGATTTTCATGCTGAGCAGGATTCAGTTTATTCGATTTTCACGGTACATTTCGTTGACCGACATTTTGCTTTCATATAATAGTGCATCTGTTCCGTTTGGCAATTTGTTACATAATTCTTCATATGTTTTATAGAAGATAACAAAGAAAAACAACATTTTGCCATTGTGGGGCAATACGCAGACGATGAATTTAAACGCTTTGGTATTGGAGAATATTATACAATGCACATATTACAAAAATTATCTTTCGGAAACTACAGGATTTCAGCAACTTACAGAAGAAATCTACTACAGCGTAAGTTGTACTCTGTGTTAGTATGTTCTGAAATACAGGCATTCCGCGTCCTTTTTCGTACTTCGAACTATTAATCTTTGTATTGAAACTGCAATTCCGGATATAAAAAGTATGGTTTTTGCTTAATTTCATAGCTTAAAATTTATTGGTAATCGAAGTATTATGCTTAGCAACTTTGTTTCAGGTGAAACATCTGGAGCCTTGGGAACGTGGTACACGAAAGACACAAGGGATGACCGGCATGTGCGGCGGGGTCAGTCGCTTAAGTGGTATTCGTTCTTATCCTGGTATTCTACAGTTTCATTAATTGAAATCAAAGCATAGTAGACATCATTACTTTGTGTACGTAAGTTATGCAAGTTAACCTCTAGGTACGAGGTGTTGGCGCTGGTGGAGTGGTGAGTACGGCATTCTGTCTTCTCTACAAGCTTTTTACGATTCGGCTCACCAGGTATGGATTTAACAGTGAGTTGCGATTTACCTTTATTTCTGTTATAGGAGGTCGTAGAAAGTACTTCATTTTTTCAATGGATTTTCTTGAGTGCTAGGTTTCATTTAACTTTTAGTACGTTTTTGCTTTATTTTAAAATATATGCAATAACATTTTACATCCGTGTTTACGGGCAAGCAAAAAATTCGCGATTTAAAAATGTTTTACTGAAGCATTACTAATTGTAAGTTCGTGTCCAGTAGTAGCTCCTATATTTCCAGGGTCCCGTTACTAAACATTCCTAAGGCTGTTTAATTCATCGTTTTAGAAAACAACTGGTTAGCATGATTAATAACAGCGATTCACCGTACATACGAGGTATCGGTTTCATGTACATCCGATTTTGTCAGCCACCACAAGACTTGTGGGCTTGGATGGAACCTTATTTGGTAAGTATCCCAAGCGGATTAGCCCTGAAATATTCATTCTCTAATGAAACGCTTTCTTTACGTTTACTTTTGTTGATGTTTACTTTCTTAACTTCTATTATGGTTAAAAAAGCAATGACTTAATCGGAGACATTTCTCTTTTTTTTTTTGAAGGAATGTGTTGTTAACAGTTCTACATTTTTAGGATGATGAGGAACAAATCGATCCACGTTCGGGAGGCGGTGATGTGATGGTAATGGCACAAGTTGTAAAAATGATGCTAACGAAACTAGATTGGTACGGTACGCTATTTCCTCGAATCCCTGTTCCAATTCAGGTATAGATTAGTAACGATTTTCTCTCCTAAATCTCTGTATGCACTAAACATTATCTGACAAATGCAAAGGCAGATGACGTTTTAGGAAAGCAAAAAACCTTCAATGTAGAGCTTTATATTAGAAATACATACACTGAAGTAAACCTGTTATTGAGTAACCTGTTTAGTCTTTGTAATTCAATGGAATAATTTGATCATGTGTGATTTGATTGTAGTTTGATCATATTTTATTGAAAGAGTGAAAATAAAAATTTTGATAACTTCATCGAATTGTTTGTAACAATGTTTTTGAAAATGTGAAATTGTAGAAGGAAATTGAACTGAAATTTCGAGAAAAAGCGAAATTAGATTATCAACGAGAACACGGGTAACTTTACTCATTGATGTTTTTGCCTCTTTCTTCACTGTTTATTGTCTTAATTTTTCTTATATAGTAAAATTTTAAATTAGTTCCATATGTTAATTTTTGGAATACGTTTGGGATTTGCTACATTTTAAAAGAATGAATTTTCTAATGCAGAGATCGAGACGATGATCATGATAGACACCGAAGTCGAAGCCGATCGCGAGACCGTTTGCGAGAGAGGTCGAAAGATCGAGAAAGAGAAAGAGATCGAGAGAGGTCTCATGAACGTGACAGGGAGAGAGAGAGGGACATAACTAGAAAACGATCACGAGAAAATGGTCGAGCTCGGGAAAGGAGGCGAGATTCCAGGTCAGTAAATTTAATTAGTATCACATTGGTGCTATAAAGATCTTAAAATAGAGTCATGGATTATGCAGTGGAATTTTCTGTTTTTGTTATTTATTCATATAGTTCCTCGCCCTTTGTGTATATGAGAGTTGGTGCAGTGACAATAGATTCTTTCGATGGCATAGTTGTAAAGAGAGTAATGCCGCAGAACTTCATATTATGATTATTAATTCTAGGGGTAGATCGAGAGAAAAGTCTAGCACGAGATCCAATCATGCTAGTGACAAGAAGCGGAAGCATGGTGGTCATCGATATAAATGTAGACATCATTTGCGGCACCATCATTGTCGAAAACATAAGGAACGTTGTCCAACACAGGCCAAAAAGTAAGGGAATTTTAAATCGATGGTTGTACTTAAGTGGAGAACGAGAATCTTAATTTTGTTTTTTCACCTTGTATAAGAGATTTTTTCGTATGGAATTCTCAATCAGGAATGAAGTAGTCATTTGTCAGGCAGGATAGTCGTCGTCATTTCTGATTATTCAATTTTAAAATTTCCATTTTGACTTGACTGACAAAGCATGAACAGGGTCGCAGAGTAGGATATATTTCGGATGCTTGTCATGACACGGCAAAATATTTGTACTCTGTTTGTAGTATACAAGCAAGTTTTCTATAATTCCAAAAAATTATATCTGCTATTTTACTGTCTTATCTATTTCAGAGCATGTCAGGAGAACACGGAGAAAAATATGAAATCTTGAAACAATCTTTTTTTCCATCTTCTCTGTTTACTTTTTTTTGACATTTGCAGATTTATTTAGTGATGGTGTTAGTATGACAATCCGATGCTTTACAATTATATATACATATTGCTTACAATAACTGGCACAAATATCTAAACTGTCCCCTGCATAGCATTATTTGTTCGATCCAAAAAGATGATCTTGTTGGATTC